AGAAAGCCCATCCGCTGTTCAGCAGAGGTTCCAGGTACCATATGGCAAAGTTCCACCTGCTAAAGCTTCAGTTTACATCCTCCATGGGAAGTGTCTGCGACATCGGATTATTGAGATTGCACGCGGTCAAGCGAGGCCAAGAGTCGCAACGTCTTCTCCAGACCTCCGCTCCAGAGGGTCAAAAGAATCTTCTAAATTTTCAGCAACACCTTGCCTGATTATTCCATTCGAACGATGGAATCGATTTTGAACAAGTTTAAAACTTTATTTCATAACACCTCGAAGGAGAATCGGTTGAAGTCCCGCAAACCCTGCGAAGTCCAGTTCTCAATCAGGCAGATTGCCAAAAGTGAATGAACTTCTGCAATGGAATTAGATAACTTCATGGAAGCACAGCGTCTGCAGTGTCGAAGCTGTCTTCTTCATGAATGGGAGCGGGGGCAACAGGTCCCATTTTCACCACTGGAGAAGCCAAAATCCACGCAGCCGTGAAGAGGCATTCCGAGGCACTCCGAAGATCAACGTACGAATAGTCATCTGGTGTGGAGGAATTTTTTGGTACATGTATTTCTTTTTAGATCTCCCTGGAAATCCCCGAACTCAGCAGCACCGTCATGTAAACATGGGTGACTTCTAGGCTCCGAGTACAGAAAATTCTGGGACACATTGTACAAGTGAAGTGAAATGTGAATGTTGAAAATACGGAACATGGTAAATTAGCTTCCCATTTTGGCTCTTAGCATCTTTTTTAAGTTTCTAAATCTTGGTAAAGGGAGGTTGAAGTTCTTTCGTTCGACGGCGAGACTTCGCGAAGGAAAATAAGTGGAACTAGATATCGTCTCGCCTCATGGTCCTGTCATACTGATTTCATTTCGACGAATTACTTGGTATGAATTTTCCTCGACAGGAATTGCGACAATAATTCCTAGACTCATTGTCGTCGGATCAGTCATTTTTTCCCCCCGTGATGCTTCTTGCTTATTGATTAGGGGTGTATCCAGATAACATTTCTTCTTTCTGAGCATCTCCAAAAGAGGCTGGCCACCTACCTGTCTTCTGTACGGTTTCAACAGTTAACCTAGCGTTGTTTCCTAACTGGTCGCAAAAATTAGGCTTGGAATAACTACGATATTGCATCCTCCTCCCAGGTCTCCGAGGGAAAAGTTTCATTTTCAGTTTTAGTTTTCATTCCCAGACGTGGAAATGGAAACTTCTTCCGAATACGGCAGAAGGAGCTAAACAAACAGAGAAGCACTTGTCTCCTTTTTACTCTTTCTGCTCTCCCGCAATCCCTTTCCTTCTCATTGTGAGAGTACAGGGTTGTGCAAAAGTTCCCGTACACTTTGAAAATCTATTTTTTTTTTCACTAATCAACGGATTTTTGGCGATTCTGATGTAGAATTTGATTCATTTATCTTTTTTCATGCTGTTCTATGTACATAATTATTCAACTAACAAGCCGAGGTTAAGGTTTATTAAAACTTTAACTTTATAATAAAAAAAGAAAGAAAGAGAAAGAGAAGAAAGTGTACGAGAACTTTCGCACAACTCTGTATTTTGCATTTCTCGTATAGAAAAACCTTGAAAATGTCTAACCTCCGTTCCCTTATTTGTTTTTGGAATATCTGGTCCTGCTCCTGGAGATTTCCCACCTTTTTTGTTTTTGTTTTTTTACCACCTTTAATCGATATTTGGATGAGTCCCGACAAGTTTCAGTTCCGCTCCCGAAAGATCTTCTCTCATTCTGTCCAGAACAGCGGGAGGAAACGGAAGGGAAATTTTCGACTCTCGAATCACGCTGCCCTTCTTTCTTTTCCCCTGTCTTTTATTTTCTCCTACATGGGAATAGCACATTCCTTTTTTTAAATATATATATACGTAATAACCCGTTACTCCTTGTCCTCTCAACGACTCATCTGGAATGGGAAATACTTCGATTATCCTTCGACGCTCGTCTCTCGTATTTGGGAAGCGACGACAACCTTGCTCCCTTTCAGGAAGTCTCCTCTAGGAGGGAAGTCTCCTCTAGGAGAGGAGTTTCCATCTCGATAGGAGTCTCCTTCAACTTGAGATGAGCATAGGGTGGCCAGATGGTTTTTGTAAGTTGCTCGTTAATGAATTAACTGGAAATTGGGACCCCTTCAGCAAGCCAACTCCCAGATCGTTCGGTTGTCCGGTTACACGGTTTACCGTCGGGACCCCATGTCCAGAGGGAGAAGAAGAGGAACTGGTAACTTGCCTTTTTTGGAGATGGACTGGTAAGGAGAAGGGGACTATCGCGGGATCGATGGTGTCATCTGGGTGCTTTGCCGGTTATTGGCTTTTCGGCAATTTCATTGGCGCTATGAAATCGGTCGTTGTAGCCATTTAAGTGCTCGCTCTGATACGAGAAGAAGGTAGTGCTTTTGTTAAGATGGTTATGAACTTCACCGAATGTTCTCTTCATTGCTGGCCAATAGCTCGGTCGTAAATTTTCTCACCATGGGAGGCAACTTCACCAATACCTCACTTGTCGAAGTCGAAATTTAACTTTTGTTGTTGGGTTGACTATTTTTAAATGTCGATAACTTTTGAGTATATTGGGTGCATGTTCAGCCGTAGATGCACCCAAAAGTGCATCTATGAAACACGCACTATTACTGACAACTATTGATTAATATTGTAAAAAATATTATAATATTAATATTGTAATAGTTTCAGCAGCTATTATAATGGTTGCTGAAATGCGCCAAAGCATATGCGCCTGTTCGTATTCATTCAGAACGTCCTTTAAGTATTTATATTAGTGCCAGTTCACGGTAAGTAGTGGAGACCGGGGCTGGTTGTAACATTTTTTTTTTTTAGAAATAACGCATTCGACGTGATACTAATAGAAGTTGGACTCTCTGTTATATGTCAATCGAAAGGTTTACATCTTGGCTATCATAACACGTCCTTTGAAATCACATTTGTTCACTCACTTGGGAGCAATTCACGATTTATAAAGGCTAGTAGAATGTTACTTTTGACCCCATGCTCGGGTCGATTGTAAGAGTAATTATAACTGCTTACAGTCGATGGATAAAGCAATAAAAAAGATACTAACTGAACAAGTATAGTACTTTTATTGCAGCACACAAAATAACAATTCTTGGCTATATAGTGCAACTTGCAGATAACTCAAAATATGGAAAAAGAATAACAATTTAAGGTAGTGGGCTATACCTTGAAAAACAACAACCATGGCTTCATATGTGTTGTAACTGAACAAATGTTTTCTGATCGATTGAGAAAGACAAATTGCATTCCTGTAGAAATGAAATATGCAAAACGAGATTATTAAGCTGCAACACTATATTATTGTTACAACCAAACCCCACCTACTTAGGGCACAAAATGTTTGCTCACAGATCTTCCACGAAAAGGTGAACCTCTAGAAACTGTACCAAATAAATAGGTATTAAAAGCCACTTTCAACAATACTCCAATTAAATGCTCAAATTGCACATGTAGGAAAGCTTTACAAATTTTCTGATGATGAAAAATTAAACTTACATGGCCCGAAAAACGATTTTTATTAGCATTTTCCTAACAACGTTCAGCCTCGTGTTGTCGTTTTGTTTAAAGATGGCGGGCGCCAGTCTGAGTGGACAGCAGTCACCCTCAGTGTGGCACAGTGAAAAGGCATAAAACTATCACCTCTGTTACAAGCAGCCCCAGTCTCCCCTACTGTTGGCTGCCAAAAGGAACACAGTCAAGATACCCTTATTGGCAATATTATTCGATATCAGGCGAAGTGTTATTTGCCTGATATCGAATATTATAATTATTTTTTTTTTGTCAGGGTTGTTTGTGAATTGGAAGTACGTTTCTGTATTTGAGTTATTTTTTCTCAGGCCTACATGCTTCCAACTTACAAATCCATGTGGTAACACAAGCCAACGCATGCACCCTTTTTTCTTTGAATTGTATAGTCGAAATCGGCTCCGTAGATATCCTCATAAAATCTGGGTGGCATGTGCACGTGCCAAATCTCATGGGTTTTATTTGTTTTGGGTCTGAGGAGGTTGTAGTCGCGAGGATGAGTCATCCTTGGGTAGCTTTTTCCGCGGGACGTCGTGGAGTATTGTCGTCTGATGGATGCAAGTAGTCCAAGACCGTTACAGTGTTGTACAGGCTTTTAAGCGTGCTAATGACACCACCCTTAGAATGTTTCAAAGGTTCTTACGATGACACGAGATCATCATTCCCTCATCTGTGCATATTAGCTCGTTCGTTTTCGCAACTGAGAGCTCAGTCGACAAAAGAACTACATGAAGCAAAACTCTACATTCAGGGCTCTCAAGAACTGGACAGTTACGGATGAAACCTGATGAGCTGACAGACCTTCGAAGAGGAATGATGTTTGATTTTCTGGTACGAACGGGAACATGGGCCATGGGAATAAGAATGTATATGTGACATTCCTCTACGATTCTTACTTGTAGCCAAGAGTAGGTGATAAGAGTCTAAACCCCCTACCCTTCCCCCCCCCCCCCCCAAAAAAAAAGGTAGAAAANAACCCCCCCCCCCCCCCCCCCCCCCCCCCCCAAAAAAAAAAAAAAAATTAATAATAATAATAATAAATAAATAATAATAAGACGTTTCTTCCTCCGGTCCACGTTCATTCCTTCCCTCTTCAATAGAGTAACTCAATAATAAAAAATGTGAAGAATACCAAATAATTTTATTTGAGCCAACAACATTGCTATCATTGGTAAATGTATTAAAGCCATCTTGTCTCCTGGTCCATGCTTCTCATGGAGCTGCACTGGGAGACGAATACTATGATACAGTGTGGAACTCCCTCTTCATATGAAAGGGGATCGTGGAATTAGCGTTGCCGAAGATAAAGAGGTAGAGGTTGATAAGAGCATTCTCCTCCCTTTGATCAGGGAGAATGCATGACGTTGGGAATGCAGCCAGCTGTCAAGTCAAAAGTCAAGTGGATGGAATGGAAAGAAGTTGAAATAAATGCAAATTTGAGGTAGAAAAGGAAGGGGCAGGCTCCCCGCCAGGAAAAACCACTATCGAATAAAAAATTAACTTCTGGCAGAACGCGGGGAAGAGTGAATAATCACAGGCGCTCACTTTGACGGGGAATGACTAGAAAAAAAAAAGAAAAAAAAAAGAAACCACTGGGGGGGATAGAGAGAAGGAAATGCTAGGATAAGGACCCGAGTGGGACGGGTTCCACGAAGACGAAGTTGTCTTTGGGGATGTCATCCAGGAAGACCGCTCTCGATGAGGTGTCACTGAAGACATTATAGAGAATGGCAAATAGGGTACAGGCCATGTACACCCCCAGTCCCACCCACCAGATGAGTTTCTCGTGCAGATTCTGGCCAAAGTTCTTCAACACGATGAGACCGATGGTGAGCCCGGCCAAAGCACCAGCCAGGTGCGCAACGAAGGACACGGGTGGTGCACCACCGACACCATCACCTCCTCCTGCGTATCGGTTGTAGACCGCGAAACCCACGTCTGCACTCGCTGCATCATCAACAAATCCTTTGCAACGGCAATGCTTTCGAGTACTGAAAATGGACTGGAAAGGGGGAAAAAAAAAACTTACCGATGGCGAAAACGCCCAAGAGCCGAACGACTCCGCAGTGCATGTGGTGGTAGTTCTGAAATTAAAAAGAGGACATCATTTATTTCATGAAAGGAGAACTTGGGTCACTAGTAATGTATAGCTGGAACAGCTGTTATTTCCTTCCATGCATTTGGGCTGAGAGTAGTCTTTCAGGGAAGCCCTACAAGACCATCGATCTGTTTCGGTCGCCCTCAGTCGATTACGCAATCCCGTTTGTTTTTCTTATTGGCTTTTTTCCGACTTCCTTGGCTATGGAGCGCGAGAGTGCTGATTCATGCTGGCATGGGAGTATGATGGAGAAGAAACAGGCTATGTACGAGCTATCGGATGGTGTTTTCTATGAATGTCTGCATTGTGTTCTATACAGATTTTGGAAATGACAAGTAAACTTTCAGCAGATATGTGAAAAATGCATCCTAAAATCCTCCATGGGATCCAGGAAGTTTAAGGGACACCAAGAGAATATTCCACGCGACTCCACAGGCCTTTGTGGCAATTCCAGAACCGGTCCGTTGCATGATGCCGTGTTCATCCTCCTCATAACGGTTGCAAGACTTCGTTCAGCCCCAAGACTCAACTCTTCAAGATCAAGGACTCTTAAAGGCTCAACTGTCGGTGATGTCAAAAGAAGCGCTGGCTATCAAGTATGATGCAGGGTACTGAACTACCGTGTGTCCTAAAGCACACTTTCAGGTTATAATAAACTCCGTTGCTTAGCCTGGGCCCCTACCTAAACGGGCAAATTTTAATTCAGGCGGACCGGGCGGATTTCTCACCGAGAAATCTAAATAGCCCATCATTTATTCTTTTTTTTTCTTTTTGACATCCAATGGTAGCAAACCTTAGATGTAGATTTCATGGCATTTTTCTTCATTTCGATTGCCGTACTTATGAACGAATGCAATGACGAGTTCCCAGATAGCCATTTCCTGGCGGAGAAAGAAAATTTAGCTCCTTAAGGCAGGCGACCATGTCCTCTGGTGCATACTAATTCAGCATTCGCCAAATTTTCGCAACATTAAACAATTTGGTAATCTTGATATTTGGTTTCGAAATGTCATCACTAACAAAAAAAAATATTAAACAAAAATGTCAGAAATCCATTAACCCCGAAAGAGGAGAACAGTTTGGGATGTGCGCCCCTCCACCGAACGATGAACGATTCCCAAGCACACAGTCTGCAGGCGTCCCTTCTGTTTTCCTATGTCCCAAATAGTTTTGCCTGCACCGGCTGTGACGATATACTCAAAGAAGACTCACTCACTACAGGACCGGGATATTACCTAACTTGTTTTTCTTGCCCCCCAGGTTACTCCGCATCAACGTAACAAAGAGTACATACATAGAATAAGAAAATGCAACCGATTGAGTAAAGATACTAAGTTAGACCCGCTCCTGCTTCACCTATCACTTCCCAAACTGGAAACCCTTCGTGGAGTGCTCCAGATTAGGATCGAACCCCGAACTTTCCGGTTGCCAGATAAACGTCCTCTACCATTCAGTCACTGAGTCGGGAATGAGCAAGAGTAGCGGGTAGACAGACATACATACCCTCAAGGGATATGGGATGGGATAAGGAAAGAGACTTACGAGAAGAACGTTGGCAAGATGAGCGGCTAAAAGGGCATACACACCCCCAGAAGCCCCTACCAGATAAACACCCGGGTCCATCACCGACGTCCCCAGGGAACCTGGAACCAATTTCCAAAATTCGTTCCAGACCATACCATTTCAATCACTGCACGTCTGTCGCGCAGTTTATCGAGGTGGAATGAAAGAATGGTTGTGTACCTGCCAATACGCCGGCCATGTAGATTGCAGCGATGCGAAGGGATCCATGAACCATTTCCAATGGAAGCCCCACTAGGATCTGCACGACCACGTTGAATGCCACGTGCAGCCAGCTGTCAAAGAGACCAATAGGAAACTTGATGAATTTGCGTAAGGGCGAACCCAGGCGTAGTGTTACTTCAATCCTTCCGTACCCGGCGTGGAGGAGCATGTAGAGGAAGAATCGCCAGATTTCTCGTTTTCGATCGGGTCTATAGATGAAGATGGATTCGATGGCCACACCTTCACCTCCGTTCGCGTAATAATATGCAAAGCTTGCCACCTAAAGAGCACAAATGAAACAAAATATACAAAAGTGAACAATAAGAAACACATTCGATAACGGTAAAAGTGATTTACGACACCTGCATTATTTGAGCCATGCAAAATAAGTCATAATTTAAAACTTGTTTGCATCAAGTTTTATCACTTTTGCATTAAGCATAAGGGTGTATCGGGAGATTTTCAACTGATAGATTTTTCAACTGATAGATTGGAATTAAAGCAAAGGCTTTATATCTCAACAAAAAGTATGATCTAAAGCTTGGCCGTTTCTTGTGTCATTCGAGGCGAAGTTTTTAATTAGCAATCTGCTAAGTGAAGCTCTTCCTTCTCAGTTAAGTAAATAGAGTAAACTTCTGCAGTCTGAAATTACATTTCTTCAATTTGAAAGCTGCAGCATATGAATTCATAGGTTTATTTAAGAAAACAGAAATAAAGCATTGGAATTGTAGGAATAATTTTGTGAAATGGTTGTCAATGTGTAAAAAAGTATTGTTTTCCAAAAGATCAAGAAACTTATTTGCGTCGCTGTCATGGACTGTTCGACACTTGAAAAAAAGGTAACAGCTTTCGATTCGAAAGTTCATTACACAATCTTAATCGTATCAAGATAAAATGGCTTGATGCTGCTCATGAAAAGATGAAGCTTTAGTCAATTTTCCTGAAATTTCAGGTAGTAGTCCATCTCTATGTCTACCATAGTTCAATAGGAAATATGAAAACTAAATCATTATTTTAGTCCTTGGTTAATGGAAAAATGGTAAGATCAAAGTTGATATCCCACTGGGTTTTTTTTTGCTCCTTCTGTCTCTTTCGGTGGTATTCCTGGCTTCCACTCCCTCTATTATTGTAACTCCGGATGCGATTTATTTAGGGACGAAGGCCTGGCGTTATTTCGGCTCACGACATAGGGGCTCGAATTGTGGATTCATTAGTGGGAAAAATGCCAGGGATGCAGAAATGCAAGCGGAAATATTCCCTGGCACAAGAGGAAGGAAGAGAGGGCAGGGATTCCCCGACCGAGGCATTTGGCACACTTCCCTTTCGTGCCTTGTAATTGAGCCAATTAACCGAGACAAGTTTTTGCATGTCTCATCCTGATACCCCATAACCTTCCTTCGCCTCCATAAACGTACAAACGTTCCCATTCACGCCCCTGGGAAGATTTGAGAGAGCAGAGGACGAGAACAGATTACTCCCTTTCTAAGGTGAATGGCGAATTCCCTGCGCTGCCATCCTATAGAATTAGAACGCTCCCATTCTTCTTCTCTCTTCGTCATGTTGTTAAATGAAGGAGGGGCATTTGGGTTGGGGGCGTTTATGGGGAGCCGACCGCGTGGAAAATGTTCCCTGTGTCAGTCTGTGTCGGTGTCATATGGTCTTCGGGCCAACAGATGTTGTTGTTTTTTCTCTTCTTGTTTCCTCTCTTTCCCGGAATCGCACCTCGCACGTGCTCTTCGGCTATTCGATCCTCATCCAAGCCCGAAGACCTACTTTCTCCCCTTCTCGATTACGTCAATGAAACTCCAATGCCCATCACCCTAATCCCATCCTCAATAATGCTCAATAAAATCGCGCTTCTTCCCTTTGTCTTGGAGAAAAGAATTTCTCCAAGTAATCGTAAGAAAAGGTGCGGCAAATCGAACACATCGGCGAAAATATGCCATGTGTGAATGTGCGACGCGTTTCATACACACAATAACTACCTCATGGAAGGCGTGTGTGTAAGAATCGAGGGCAAATTGAGCAGCACTGTTTTGCCCTCCCATACAAATGATTTTTTAACATTTGTGAAATTGGAACTGTGCTTCTACTATACCTAGGCCTAATGTTTCTCAGCGCGAATAGTCTTAGGCAGGATGAACTTTCCCACGAATTTTAACATTCGTATAAAAATATTGACTCTAGCGTCTAAATTGGACCTCAACTCAAAGGCTTCTAAGCATGATGTCACTGATGTCCCTAATATGTGGAGTCTTTCGAAACAGATCGTCGATAATAAAAGGAGCGTGTAACTTCATCCCTTGTAATTTACAGTTAAGTCTTTCAAAAACAATAGCATTCCATGAATTCCAATCCAAGACATCTCACATTTTCAAATATAAGGTAGTCCTCAATGAAACTCACAATGGCTGTCAAAGACAAATCGGTGAAACTCAAAATGCATTGTTTTTCTAAGCGAAGGACAGCATCAATGACAAAAACCTTTTTTGAGAGCAATGCTGTGCAGAAAAACCTAATAGCAACAGTAACTTCTCGAGTAGAGAATGAATATTGGATGATTCTCTGATATGAATACTGAATGTGATAAGTTGATCACACCATCTATACGCACATTAATGCGAATAACTGTCAGATGCTTAACTATCATTCGAATAGTCTGAATTGTTCCATCTCTGGTCACCCTGGTCACACATATCTTATTGAATACCCGATTAGCCCTCATGCCTTCCGTGCATGCCAGGTGACAAATATGCCGTTTCACATCCATTCTGTGGCATCAAAGGCGATAGAAAAGGGCTTTTCCCCGCGTGAAAGAGCAAAGCCCTTCCCCCCCCCCCCCCCCCCCCCCCCCCCGCGGACGAAAANAAGGCTTTTGGCCTTGCCTTGTGGCATTTATTCATTAAAGAAATCATCTTGAACCATTTGAAAATGAGAAGTGGATCCATTCATTTTCCATTAAGATGGCATCCCCCAAGAGATGTTCTGTGAAACTCAGGTTAAGCCCATTGCCTCCGCATTTTCCAGAAATGTTTCTCTTTTCATCATTTTGATCCTTGGTATATTCTCTTAAGACGCCACTGCCTAACCGATGGTGGAAATTGTCTGATGCAGCTGGCGTCAATTTTGCTTTAAAAACATCGGTTCGTTGTCATTACATGAGTCGATTTTTGTGTTGTCCTATTATACAGAACTCTTCAATTTCCTGAATTACAGCACTCGACAACCTCAAGGCAGAAACAACTGTTGTTTCGATTATTTCAGATGTAAAAAAGATCAACTTCTCCTATAGGTCGATACCAAGTTCTACATAATACACGTCATTCTAGATTGAAATTTCCAAGCTATGGCTTTGACAAAAGGGAAGGGAGAACGAGAAGAGACGAGAGAGATGAATGGATAGAGGTGTCTAGCTGGAAGGAGATTAGTCATGGTCGATGACCTGTGCGACCTGACCTGAGTCATACCCTCGGGGCGTGTAGAAACCCCAGACAGTAATTTATCGCCATTCCGCCTATCTGATTCGAAATGCGATGAGAGAAGGGGTGGCAGGAATGCCAAGACCTTTCCATGGAGCACCACGTGCCACGTATGTACTCGTATATTATGGCATCTGGTGTTTGTAACAAAGGGGAGAAATTTCGTTGTTCATTCCGTTTGACCTTGAATTAGGAGGGGGTTAAGAGGAAAAAAAAATCGGTCGGGTTCTTTCGCTTCTCACACCTGTTCCCTGATTCTTTCTAACGGTGAAGAGCGGAAGTGTGACTGAATCCCAGACCACCCAGGGCTAGAAGGAGAGGAAAGGAAGGTGAGGAAAAGGGACTTTTCCCAACCCCTCTATACAACGGATTTCCTATTTATAAGCATTCTGTGGCAAGGCGGGAGAGGAGAACAATGAGGTGGGGGGAGTCATCAATTATGACTGTGGGGTCTAAGGAAGAACGAGAAGAAAAAGAGGGAAGAAACAGGAAGTGACATGTGGGATGTGACTCTTGTTGACAGGCCTCATCCCGCCTCCCTTCAACAACTATTACCGGTTACCGTGGTAGCATAGGATTCTGGTCGGGTGTCCCGGTGATTCGTTTCGGGTCATCTCAGGCCAGGCTACCAGTTCCGCATGGTGAAATTCAGGAGTATATTCTGATTCGCTTTCGCACTGTCCGCGTGAATAAACGAAAATGTGGAACGAGCTGCTCAGGATTCCATGCCCACCAAAGTGGAGAAGAATAGTGGAATTCCCAGAGCAAACAAGTGTGATGAATCAGGACGATTATGGCACAAAGAAAAATTCCTGAAGCAGCGTTTCAAGGAACGCCTTGTTGCCTTGGATGAATGGAAGCATTACGTAGCGTTGGGGGTGGTTCATTGATTTCGAGCTGTTTTGACAGAGCTTTTGCTATGTTCGACTGTACAGCCCTGCATAACAAAATACGTTGCAGACAGCATATATATGCAATAATTTCGGGCCTGCAAATCGCCAGCGTTAAGAAGTGATGTGCGGAAACAAAGGTCTTTGCGGGGCATAAGTAGGCCTACATGCAGAATAATTCCTGTTTCTTTTGGAGTAACGTTTCCTGTGTTTTTCCCCCCGTGTTTTCCGCTCTTCCTGTGAGGCCCAGATCCGTCCGGTATGGCTTTTCCCTTCAAACCGTATTATCAGAAAGCTCCAATGGGATTGGACATAGTGACACTTAAAAAAAGACGAAAAAAGAAAAAAAAAGAAAAAAAAGAAAAGACACTAAACCGGGCACTCGAGACAATGGCCTCGGGTTTCTTCCAACTGGACTAAAACCGTTGATTGGACCCTACCTCTTGGGGCGATGACGCCATGGTGCATGGCTTCAGAAAGAATTCAGGATTTCTCCCGTTCTGCGGGATTCATTTCATTTTTAATGATAGAGGGCTGTTTAGAAAGTTCCTGGACATTGTAGCTACTAGATACTTGGTCTGATTGATGTTATTTAAAATAGCCAGAGTTTCTAAGAGTCTCGGGAGTTAGGACACAATGTGTTTAATGAATCGGTCGCTTTATGACTTTTTCTGGTTTCTAAGGGGAGGAACGGATGGAGTCAGTGATGAGCAGAAATATGAAATTCAAAGTGGCATCAAATCTTCCGTGAAATGAGATGAAGTTAAAAAAAAAAAACCATTTGCCCACGGGACAGATGCTCCCAAGTGCCATGAACAACATTACCTGAGATCCGGTCACCAATTCATTTCTCTCGATAAGGAAGGTTGCGAACTGAGCAAGGCAGTGTTGAAAAGAAAAAGAAAAAAAAAGTAGCTGTTCGACCGCTTTCTGATGAGTTGGGAATATCATCTGGAAACGCTGGCATGATTTTGAGTGATGAACTGCAAATGTCAAGGG